TACCATCCCTGACTTCAAACTCTATTACAGAGCTACAGTGATGAAAACAGTGTGGTACTGGCATAAAAACAGAGAAGTCGACCAATGGAATTGTATAGAAGACCCGAATTTTAACCCACAAACCTATGAACACCTCATTTTCGATAAAGGAGCTAAAAGTATACAATGGAAGAAAGAAAGCATTTTCAACAAATGGTGCTGGCATAACTGGATGTCAACCTGTAGAAGAATGAAAATAGATCCATATCTATCACCATGCACAAAACTCAAGTCCAAATGGATTAAAGACCTCAATACCAGTCCAAACACACTGAACCTGATAGAAGAGAAAGTGGGAAGTACCCTACATTTCTTTCTTTTTTTTTTTTTTTTTTGTTTTTTCGAGACAGGGTTTCTCTGTGGTTTTGGAGCCTGTCCTGGAACTAGCTCTTGTAGACCAGGCTGGTCTCGAACTCACAGAGATCCGCCTGCCTCTGCCTCCCGAGTGCTGGGATTAAAGGCGTGCGCCACCACCGCCCGGCTTATTTATTGTTTATTATGTATACAGTGTCCTGCCTGTCTGTATGCCTGCAGGCCAGAAGAGGGCACCAGATCTCATTACAGATGGCTGTGAGCCACCATGTGGTTGCTGGGAATTGAACTCAGGACCTCTGGAAAAGCAGCCAGTGCTCTTAACTCCTGAGCCATCTCTCTAGTCCCCTTCATCTTTTCTTCCAGAGCACAAGCCTCAGAGTGGGAAGCCTCTCCTCTCCCTGTATGGACCCTAGCCTGAGGTAGAAAAGGTACAGCCTGGGCTGTCAGGAAGGTATCCACCAGGAAGTGATGTTTAAGCTCTGCACAGTTCTTTGATGGGGTTCCAAAGTAAGGTGTATAATGGGCACAGTGCTGTGCATCTGTGGTCTCAGCTACTCAGAAGGATGAGGCTGGAGAATTGCTTGAGTCCAGGAGTTGAGACAAGACTTGGCAGCAGAACAGCATGTCATCTCTGACAAACAGATGGGCTGATGAGCCGTGCAGCACATAGAACAGAAGGCCTTCATCATCATCCTGAGCCTCCCTTCTGCCATTGCTTCACATGTGTCTGCTGGAAGCATTTGCCTTTCCAGAGATTTGAATGATGGCAGCCTGGTCATGGCCCTCTACGGCCATCCTATATTTCTGACTTATTTCTTGAGTCATAGCTGAGAGAGAGTGGACTTCCCAGCACTTGGCATCAGATGTTAGCGAGGACCATGAAGCCACAAGGGGAAGCCTCCCCAAGGCCATAGAGAAAATGAAGCCCCTAGAGTGGCCTTTTGGAAAACTGTGAAAAAGCAGATGATTCTTGGTTTCCTTCAAATGAAATAAAGCTATTTGCTGCTCTGAACATGTCTTTTGCCTTTACTTTTAAAGTTGTGCAGTTTCACAGACGCTGCCGTGGACTTTGCAAGTAGTTCTGGTTCCCTTTCAGACCACGTGGCCTAGCACAGAAGAGGCCTTAGCACAGCTTGCATGGTTGAAAAGCCTGTGGGTTGCTGTGCTCTTCAGAAGTCCAGTGCAGGGGAGACTGTTCCAGGCTCTTCGAGTCACATGTGACAAGTAGGAATGGTGTGTGTGCAGAGACACTGGCGTCTGGAGGTTGAGAACTGAGCCACAGCAGACCTGCCTAACCTCTCCTTGTCTCTGTCTCTACTTGTGGTGGGCTGCCAGTCATAGTCTGCATGGGAGCAGATTGAGTCTTAGTTCTAAGAAGTTAAGTTATAAAAATACACTGGAGTAATATAATACCTGATCTTCTTTAATAGCTACTGAAATTTTGTTGCCCCTTTTCTAGCTTTTTTGTTTTTTAACTTTAAAAATAACTGACCGTTGTGGTTCATGCCTATAATCCTAGCACTCTAGAGTCTGAAGGAAGCAAGATTCCCCCAGGTTTGAGGCCAGCCTAGGCAACATGGAAGCTCGGAGAGCATTTCACAGGAGGGAGCCGAGATTTAGTGGGTATTGAGTACCTGTGCTCCGAAAGCTGTGCCTTCTACAGAGCATGTGATGATCCAGGGGAAAGCCCGGCCATTCTCAGGGAGGCCACTTTGGCTTGTGGACTTGAAGTTTTCTAAAATTGTCCACACTAGACTATTTCATTGCCCCCACACTCCAAAAGTGTGTCTGAAAAGATCACAAAGATGGAAAGTTATGGAAACAATGAAAATGAGGCCAGTCCTTTTAGCAACAGAAAAGTAGTGGTTTCAGTTCTGCCTTGTTACTGTTTTGTTTTTGTTTTGAGACAGATTCTCACCATTTAGCTCAAGCTGGCCTAGAACTCATTGCAGTCTGGTCTACTCTGCTTTCCAAGTGCTGGTGTCATGGATAGATATATGCCACAACTTGAGCAGGTGTTGGAAAGCAGAAATGGGTGGCATACTTGGTGCACTGTGCTTCCTTTCTGGGCTTTTCTTGTGTTTTAGAAACTGGCAGGCTGGAGTCCTAGTCCTCAGAATGCCCTGCCACAGCCTTCAGTGTGGCCTTTGGCTCTAGCAGGTGCTGACGAGGGCCAGGAAGGCAGAAGTCAGGAGTAGCTGCGAAGGTGAAACTGGCAGGCTGGAGTCCTAGTCCTCAGAATGCCCTGCCACAGCCTTCAGTGTGGCCTTTGGCTCTAGCAGGTGCTGACGAGGGCCAGGAAGGCAGAAGTCAGGAGTAGCTGCGAAGGTGACACAGAAGGTAGAGGTGTCCATTTGACTCTTGCTCTCTGTAGCTTTGCTTTTAACTTTGGGATACTGATTCTCTGTAGTAACCAACAGAAGGTTTTGTGGGAATGTGCCATCAATTATAAGATGTGAGGAGGGGTTTTCTTAGAGCATTCTGAAGAAGGTACAAAGAGCAGTTCCTACAAAAAGCAACCCTCTTGACTTCACCATCATGGAAAGGAAGACTGGAGGGGAAGATCAGTTGCAGAAGAGTAGAGGTGAAGCCTGGGAAGGAAGGCAAGAAATATTAAAAGGGAATTCACAGTCGGGCTAGTTAGTTTTCATGGCCTGTGTCTACCCTCTTTCGTTAATGCCCAGCCCAGCCCAGTCCCACTCTCTAGCTTTCTCGCTTTTTTCTTCTTTTCTCCTTGCTCTTTTCACCCGAACACAGTCTGTCTAGATTCATGGGGTCTCTGCATCTTCACTTCCTGAGCTGGGACTGTCATCCAAGAGCATATTTTCACCCCCATTTCAGTCTACCCTTGACTGAAACCCCCTCTTCCCATACCCACCTTTCTGCCCCTGTGATTTCCCCTCCTGTTTGCCCCCTCTACTTTGTCTCATCCCAATACTGATCACCAGTCTTGTTGTGCTCATTTTTTTTACTTTTTTCTTTGCATTCATACCCATAATGACATATTAGTACATACCTTATAACAGTATCCCTAAGGTGATCATCATTTAAACTTATTTTTATTTTATGAGTGTCAGTGTTTTGCCATGGGTGTTGGGTCGCCTGGAACTGGAATTATAGACAGTTGTGATCTGCCTATCATATGGTTGCTAGAATTGATTAGTATTTAACATGTGATTATTTGGGAGGGGACTGTTGGTTAGGTTTCTTTCTAATTATTATTTATTGTTATTGTTTAGCTGGTTTTTGTTGTTTGATTTGGGGGTTTTATATAGGTTTTTTTGTATAGAGTTTTTTTCAGGGCTGATTGGTTTGCAGTTGACTGTTTTCATAGAGACTGTCCTATGTGTTGACTGTTGTTGCGAATAGTATTTTACTAATGGAGAGGAATGTGGATGAAGCCTCATACTTCAAAAATGTTTCCGCTTCTACCACCTAGTCTTTCCTGAAGAAAGGTGACCAAAATAAAATAATAAAAAGTCAACCATTGATTTAACGCCTGTTACAGACTCCAACCCCCAGTCACGAGCGGCATCAAGGCTCCCAAGGTGGCTCAGCAAGTAAAAGTGCAAATCTGGTGGCCTGAGTTCAATCCCTGGCTAAAGGAGAGAACCAAACTAAATCCTGAAGGTTGTCCTCTGACCAACACACACACACACACTAAAACTGTAAAAGAAAAACACAGGTAATATGGCTTCTATGACATGTCTCATCTGAAATACACAATTCCTGAATTAAGTCTCCCAGTGACAGCGACTTAGATGAATTTCAAAAAGAATTCAGAAGTATAATGAAAACTTTTCAAGAAACAGGAGTAAATTTAAGGAGAACACAGAGGAATGAGATAAAGAAGTCAATGCAGAATGAAAATAGAGTTAATAAAGAACAATATTGAAAAACAAGCTGCCAGGTGGTGTCTTACTCTTTTAATCCCAGCACTTGGGAGGCAGAGGCAAGCGGATCTCTGAGTTCAAGGTTAGTTTGGTCTACAGAGCAAATTCAGAACAGCCAGGGCTACACAGAGAAAACATGTCTCGAAAAATCAAAAAGAAAAAAAAACTGAAATGATACCAGAAAAGAAAACTTTAGTAAATTAGTCAGATGGCAAGCACATTGGAAAGCCTCACTGGTGGAATGGGCCACATACATGGCAGAACTTCAGGGCTTGAAAACAAGGTAGAGGAATTGGTGCATCATTAAAACCATCAGTAAGATCTTAAACACATACAAATGGAATGTCAGGGAATCCTAACAGAATGTTCTCAGGCCTATGAGACTGGAAAGGGCATCCCAGGCCTTAGGAAGAGCTCACTCACCAGGCATTCCTGCAGAGCTGGCCCTGCTGACCATTGTAGAGAAAAGCAGGAAAGGCTGACTCTTGGCTGTTTTCAGAGTACTTGCAAAAGGACAAGACCTTATTTCCTAATAACAATAGAGTAAAAGTTATACTTCCCCAGAAATACACCTGTTTATGTGAACAATGGTAGCTTTTAGACATCCAAAGAAAACCGGAATGTGACTCCTGATGCCACATGCCCACCAGGCTTTTCCATCACTGAGCTGCCATTGGACTTGGTGCCAGCAAACCACAAGGTTGTGTTCTGGCTGCTGTAAATGGGCTTATGACATACTTCTTTTGCTTTCAGAAGTGACTGGAGAGGCCCGTCCTTATCATGGGAAGGAGACCTTGGACCTGCGACAGGGGCGGACCAGAGGAGGTGACCCCACACACTTCCACACGGTGAACATGGCTCAGCCTGTCCGCTTCAGCAGTAAGTTGCAGACCTGCCCTAAGGCAATGCCCACTAACATGTTTGTTATCCCACCTTAAGATTGCAGCTTTGCTCAGTCCTGGCTCTCTGCAGGCCACTGATGAGACGGTTTATTAAAGCAGCCCTGGATGATGTTGCAGGAGACGTGAATGAGGCTGCATGTGAGAGTGTATAGCTACAACATGGAAGCAGTCTCCCTCTTTTAGTGACTAGATAACCTGTGACATTAAACTTCTCAAGGGCATAGCAAGGTTGGAGAAAAGCAAAGCGGTTTAAAATGCCCCACCCTAAACAGGCATGCTGGGGTGATGATACCCTCTTGTGTGTAAGAACAGCCAGACTTGGGGCAGAAGAACTTGTGTTTAATGTGCTTGCTGTGGAGCACAGGGGTCTGTTTTCTGTGTTAACTCTTAGCCCACAGCCTCAACATGGGAGGTGAATCAGAGGTACTTTGCAAACTCAGCTTCTGCTTGCAGCCTATACCTACCATCACCAGTCCTAGGGTTTGGCCACCAAGCTACAGTGGCTGCCTGAGCCAACACAGTCAGTGCAGTAAGGAGCCCTGGAAAGTCAACCACGTGGCAGGCTCCCAGCATCCACCCTTGCATGGAGCCGTAGTTCTTGGTCTGAGAGAAGATGGGAAATGTATAACCAGGTATTTGATCTCTTGTAAGAAACTTGAAATAAATGCTGTCTCCTCCTTATCCTCAGGGAGTATGTTCTATGTATAACAAGCCACACTGGCTCTTCCAGGGGAGGTTCTATCTCCCTATGCACTCAACTGTGCTTATCTGAGGCCTGAGCAGTGAGCAGATCCTGTTATCCAGCTTGCCATCCTTGTACACAGTATTGTCAACATGTCTCAGCCGTGGCCCAGCTTGCCATTTTCTTCTTATGGCTCCATTAATAAGTCAGTCACACATACTTTAAACATGAGGATCAGGCTGGTAAGATGGCTCAGCAGTTAAGAGTTCTGTTCAAGGGACATAGGTCTGATTACCAGTTCCCACATGGTGGCTTACAGATGTCTGTAACTCCAGTCCCTGGGGGGATTTGACACCCTCTTCTGGCCTGTGCAGGCACTGCGGACAGATGGTACACAGCCGCATATAAGGAACCCACACACATAAAATAAAATAAAAACACAAGCATAAACCCCCTAATAAGTGTTACTAGCTCCATGGCATGTGGGTAAATTTTTAAATAACATCTTTTGACAACTGATGTAGCTAAGCATATAAGAGGTACTCTAGCCAGGTATACTTAGAAGTTAGAGTCAGGCAGATCTCTAGGAGTCCAAGGCCAGCCTGGTCTACATGGAGTTTCAGGCCTTCCAGAACTACATAGTGAAACCCTGTCTCCAAGGGGAAATAAATACTTTTAATAGTGAGTGTCCTGGGGCTGGAGAGATGACTCAGAAGCTAAGAGCACTGACTGCTCTTCCAGAGGTCCTGAGTTCAATTCCCAGCAACCACATGGTGGCTCACAACCATCAGTAATGAGATCTTGTGCCCTCTTCTGGCCTGAAGGCATACATGCAGGAAGAACCCTGTATACATAATTAATAAATAAATCTTTAAAAAAAAATAGTGAGTGTCCTGTAGAGGAACAGAACTGATAGAATGAGTCTAGAGGGGGGGCGGGGCTTATTAGAATGGCTTGCAGGCTGTGGTCCAGCTAGTCCAGCAATGGCTATCTACCAGTGGAAAGTCCAAGAATCCAGTAGTTGTTTATTCCATGATGCTGGATGCCTCAGCTCAGTATACCCAAATCCTGAAGAAGTGGGCTGTAATGCCAGTGAAGGAATAGACTTGTCAGCAAGAGCTAGGGCAGGCAGGCAGGCAGAGAATGGATTAAAGGAGAATCTTCTCACATCAGATTATTTCAGGAAAAAAAGCCCTCACAGGTATACCCAGCCACTTGGGTTTTAGTTAACTGCGGATGTAGTCAAGTTGACAGGCAAGATTAACATCATGGCACTCCCAACATTTGAATGCTCCACATCTGTAGAGCACACTACTGATACCATCTTCATTAAGGTATAAGGTGCCAGCACTTCCCGTGCCTGAGGGGCACATGAACCATCCAGTAGAATGAGAAGGTGCTGCAGAGGTCCTGGAGATAGGACTCTGACTACCTCAGCCTCACCAGCTGCAAGAGTCACCTGACTCTGGAGTCAGGTTTGGACCCTCTGGAATTAGATTTAAGAAATTGTTTTAGGGAGATGCTGATTGGCACCCTACTGAAAACACCTGTGTGAATAGAAAAGAGGAATCAGTGGGCTTGCTGGCAGCAGAGGACTGGTAATATGCTTACTCCCATTCTGCTTTGTTAACCAGATACAAGCAGAGAATGAACTGTGTTAGAGAAATTTTCTCAGCAACTGTTGTTGACTACTAAGAAGTTGAAGAACCATGGGCAATTAAGAGGACTCTGAATACATGTGTACCATAGGTTGAATTGTGCTTTTTAGAAAAACTAGAGCATTTGTAGCCAGTGTGATCTCAGCTAGGACCTTATCACTATAAGTGAAGCCACAGTGGAGCTACTAACCTAGACTACTCTGTGGGTAGGAAGATCTATTGGGGATCAGACTGCCAAGGTGCACGCTCTCCCACTCACTCTCAGTGGAGGCAAGAGAAGATGTGGAGGAAAGGCAAGCAGGTTTTCTGAGTGTCGGGATGGGGGGTCCTTGAACTGATAAAGGTGTGTGGATTGACTAGATGCCCTTGCCTGGGGTAGTTGACCTATTCGGGAGGATTAAGAGTGGTTCCTGGTAAACAGAGACCCACCTCTCGGTCTCTGTTTACCCAGCCAAAGTCTTTCTATTTAGGACATTGTCCCCAGTACTGCTATTTTTGGGGCTCTGTTTTGACCTACTAACCATCTCAAGCTCTAGATCTCCACGGTGATTCTGAGGTGTGTCTGTTGTTGATGCAACACTTGTAATTTCAGTTTCGAAGTCATGATCCTAATTTTGGGGACAACTCCCCTTCCGTTCTTCATGCTTCCTAGGGAAATGCCCGACCGGGTGGCACCACTACGAAGGCACAGCCAGCTGCTACCGGGTCTACCTCAGCGGAGAGAACTACTGGGATGCTGCGCAGACCTGCCAGCGTGTGAATGGCTCGCTCGCTACTTTCTCCACTGACCAGGAGCTGCGCTTTGTCCTGGCCCAGGAATGGGACCAGCCAGAGCGGAGCTTCGGCTGGAAAGACCAGCGCAAGTGAGTCCCAGGGTTCTGAGTCTGTTTGCTGCTGAGCATTCGTTGGCAGCTCCTCCTTGGGGAAGGCAAATCCCCATCAGTAGCAGCACCTAGAGACCCAGTGGCTTAGTTTGGCATCAAGATGAAATTGGGGGCCTTTGAAGGCGCAAAGAGTACAGGGCCCTCTTGCTTCTTTGTGGGACTATGGACCAGCCCTATTCACTGGTTCCCTCTGTGGATACAGCTGTACTGGGTGATTGTGGCAAGGAAGGACTCAGTGTGAGGCTCTAGGCATGATGGAGGATACCAGGTGAGTGGGAATGCCTTCTGATAAAGTGAGCCTGTCAGCTCTGCTGGCTGCTGCTTATGGCCCTGCTCAGTCTTTCCCAGACACCCTAGGCTTCCAGAGTGCTTGCACATGTGACCATTGATGGGCTTAGGGGCATTGCCAGGCTTAGCTCAGGCAGTCTGCCCAGAACCTGCCTTCTGAACTCCAGGGCCTGCTCATCTAGAGGAAGCAGAAAAATAGCAGCCAACTTAAAGGCTTAGTATTGGTGGGGCTTTCATTTAGGGAGCAGAAATGTGCCAAAGTTCTTAGTGTGCCACCTCTAGAAGCCACACCATGTGCCCTGTCCGTGTTTAGGGGTGGAAGTTGGAAATGGCAGCCAGTTGTCTCTTCTAGAAGGAAAGACAAAAGATGGCCAGTGTTCACTGCCAGTCACCTGCTGCCTCTAACAATGGCACAGCTGCCATTCTTCCAGGGGAGCATGATGACCTAAGGCAAAGTGGCCCGAGGGCCATTTCAGGATGAGCTACAATTAAGTCATGTGTAGCATCCAGAACCACCATGCTGCTTCTTGTCTGCAGCTGCAGTGTCGGATGAACAACCCTTCTTCCCACTGGAAACGCCTGAAAGGGCACTGGCCTTGCTGGGGAACACCCTGTCTTCTGTGGTGGCCACATGTGTGCGTGTCCCACACTGCTCACAGCAGTGTGAGCTCAGTATGGGCTGGAGTGGCATGTTACTTCAGGTGGTAGCAGATCTGCAGGAGGGCGTCTCTAGGACTGGACCTGGAACTCTAAGGCAGCCTGGGAGGGCACAGAACTCTCAGGTGCTTGTAGCATTCAGTTACTTCCATGTACAGGTGCCTCATTGTTTGGATGTGACAGTATGTGTTCACAGGTCTTTGTTTCTTCAGAGTTTACTGTTCTATGATTTTAACATACTCAAAATTGTGTTTTTATGACATTATATCCAAGGTCATCCTGGTTTTGAATGTGAAAAATTTTCTAGAATCAGCTAAAAAGAACAGGCTTCGCAAGGGTGCCAGATGTAAAACTTTCTGACCTGTGGATTTGTTTAGAAAATGGATTCTTTTCAAATTGAGAGGAAAACTTTAATGACTTGTGTAAACAGATTTTTCTTTGGGCTGTTAGCTCACAAAAAACTACACAGAGACTTATTATTTATGAAAGCTCAGCCTATAGTTTAGGCTTGTCCCACCAGCTCTTATAACTTAAATTAACCTATTTCTGTTTATACTTACCTATTATCATGTGACTTTTACCTCTCCTCCCTCTGGCAGTTCCTCCTCTCTTCTTCCCAGAGCTCTCTGTCCTCAAGAGTCCCACCTATACCTCCTGCCTACCTATTGGCTGCTTAGCTTTTAATTGAACCAATCACAGTGTCACATCTTCACACTGTGTAAAGGAATATTCTACAACAAATTCATTTTAGAATTTTACTTTTTTAGAGGTCAGTATAACCATGAAAACATATATACAGGACTAAAGGTATAAGTCAATGGCAGAGAACTTCCCCAGCACACATGAAACACTGGGTCCAGCTAGTTAGGAGGCTGAGCCATTAGGGTCAAAGTTCAATGCTAGTCTATCCCAGAATAAAGAAATAGTTAATGGTGCAGGAATAGAGTGCTTGCCTTGCAAACTTGAGCTCTTGGGGCAAAGAGACGGGGGGGGGGGTCCTCAGTTCTACTAAATACATAGGTCATCATCAATGGCTGTTTTGCCCCTGTACTGAGGTTTCTCTTTCTGTCCTCTGCAGGCTGTGGGTTGGTTATCAGTATGTCATCACTGGGCGGAACCATTCCTTAGAAGGTCGCTGGGAAGTAGCATTCAAAGGTAAGTATTCTTGTTTGTTAAGTGTGAAATGGAACCATCCTCAGAAGATATTGCTGGAGTTTCCCTTCCTGCTTCTTTCCACCCAGTGGTTTCTTGATTCACAGGACCACAGGGGATGGGGCACATGGAAATGGGGAGTGGTTGCCGAGAGGGCACTCTGGGTCAGCATACTGCCTACCAGTCAGGCCCTGTGTGTTTCCAGGACCTCCTCTGGAGCTGCAACAGCCTTTAGCTCTTGGCAGTCTCCAGCCCCACTATTGATGCCCAGTTGACATCAGGACCACCTTGAGGACATGTCTGTCCTCACCTTTATTCTCCTCCACAGGCTCCTCGGAAGTGTTCCTGCCTCCAGATCCCATCTTTGCCTCCGCCATGTCTGAGAGTGACACTGTGTTCTGCGCCCAGCTCCAGTGCTTCCACTTTCCCACGCTGAGGCACCATGACCTTCATAGCTGGCATGCTGAGAGCTGCTCTGAGAAGTCTTCATTTCTGTGTAAAAGAAGTGAGTCCCAGCGGTCAGCCTCCAGTGGGCTCTGACCTCGTGGTGCTCTGAAGGGACTCTGCCCAGCTGGCCTCTAGCTCTGTGGCCTGGGAAGCCATAGGTGTTCTTGACCCCCTGACTACAGTTCTTTCTTTGCTGGCTTAGTGTTCTTCAGAGATTGGGTGAGATCAGTGATCTCAGGATTTGCCAGTCCTGTCACAGCTCTGCAGCATCAAGGGCCTTGGAACCTTTCAGCTGCATATTCTCTGTCTGACTTGCGTGACTTCTCTTCCCTAGTGTACGGGATCAGGAGTCTCCACAGCCCTCTGCCAATGCATCTAATCAAATGTTACATCACTTGTTGTCTAGACACATCAAACAAAAGTGGGACTCCCCTCCTCCTACCCCCAGCTGGTCCTCTGGGAAGGGGCAAGGAGGAAGAATGGTCTTGATGACTGCTGAGTGGTTCAAGTGTGGTGTGTGCTCAGCTCTGGCCTTGTGAACTAGCCTTTCTCCTTTGCTGATGTATTGGCACTCAGTCCTCCCGCTCTGTCACAGGCCAGGCTGGCAAGTGTCTGGGCCTGTTCTGACCCTTGCTGCTGTCCGTCAGTTTGTGTCAGCACCATGTGCCAGGGGACAAGGGTTAGGCTGAGCCTCAACATCTAGCATGTGTTTCTCTCTGTCTCTCTCTCTCTCTCTCTCTCTCTCTCTCTCTCTCTCTCTCTGTTGTTCTTCTAGGACTTTTTCTCTTCTACACAAATTTTAGAGCTTTTTATTTTTCTTAATATATTTTTTTTTTTTAGTGTGGAATCCTCTTAGGTATCTCTATGGACAGTTTTGTAGCTTTGAAACCTTGCACCTAGATTTCTTGAGCTCTTCTTGCTGGGGTCTCCAGTACAGTGTTGATTAGGAATACCAAGCATGTGTTTAATATGTCAGCGTCAAGCTTAATGCTTTCTACAGAATTTTAAAGTGTATCCTTGGGAGTAAAGGAATTGTGTTTTCCTTCTTTTCCAAGAACATTCATGGCACAAAAAATACTGTGTTTTATTAGAGGATTTTTTTTTCTGATTTTCAGAGTTTTCTTCTTTAATCTTATCACTTTGTTCATTTTTTGTTAGACCTTTATTTTGATCTAGGTTACTGTGTTGCCCATGCTGATTTTAACACCTGGGCACAAGTCTTCAGCCTCCTGAGTAGCTGAGACTTCAGGCACTCGCCATCATATTTGATATTTAGCCACCCTGTAGGCTTGAGCACCTTACAGTGCCGAATTTCATTTGCTGATACTTAGATTGACGTTTTGTTTTTCCTTTACTCATAAGAAGCGATCCTGGCCTGGTCCATTCCTTTTATGTACTCTTAATTGGCTCAGATGTCTGTTTTTTTAAATGTAATTCAATTTTAACTTTATTATTGTAACTTTTTTCATAATTCAGATATCATAAAATGCTATCATAAAATGCAAAGAAAATTAACTTTCCACAATATGTCAGTTGTTGGCACTAAAATATATCCCCAAGGCCCGTGAGATTGAGCCTGGCTCTGAGGTCAGTGTCCAGGACCCAGCTGGTGTGAAGAGAGAACCTCCTGCAAGTTGACTTTTGACCCACACACATGCACCATGGCACATACGCACCCACCACACACATACACAAGCAAATAAGTGTAATTTGAAATTTTTTTTTTTTTTTTGGTTTTTCGAGACAGGGTTTCTCTGTGGTTTTGGAGCCTGTCCTGGAACTAGCTCTTGTAGACCAGGCTGGTCTCGAACTCCCAGAGATCCGCCTGCCTCTGCCTCCCGAGTGCTGGGATTAAAGGCGTGCGCCACCACCGCCCAGCTGTAATTTGAAATTTTATAAGTTATTCAGATACAAGTGACAGAGACCCAGTTTTCAAAATGAAAAGTACTCAATATATTAAAAGTTAACAGTAATTTATATAGAGCATATGAAAAAGTGACATTCTACTGGGCCTGGTGGCACACACCATTAATCTCAGTACTGTGAAGGCAGAGGCAGGTGAATCTCTTGAGTTCTAGGTTCTAGGCCAACCAGAGTTACATTGTGAGACAGACAGACAGACAGACAGATAGATAGGCATTTTGCCTTCATTAGAAAGGTGTTAGGTTTTGATTATACTAATTTTGGCAAAGAAATTGTTTTTAATAAGAAATGCCATTATAGTGCTAGTCTAACAGTGCTAGTCCAAAGCAAGAAACAGTGCAAGGAATCAAGACACATCCAGGAGGTGAGCTTCTTAGCTCCTAAAGCACTTGCAAAATATACCCTTGGTGGGCTCGGGAAAGGGGGTGGGCAGCTAGGGAGAGGAGGGGCAGCTGGAGATGACTGAAATGGAGAGTACTCACTGGCCAGGTGTGTCTGTTGAATTCCTTTCCTTGGCCACTTTTTATTCCTCTACTACAGTTTCTTTGCCTTTTTTTTCCCATCAAAATATGAAAAGTATGGAATATAGACCATCCCTGTACTGCCTGCTCAGCAGTGTCCAACTCAAGCATTTTCAAACTATATGCATATTGATAAATCCCGTCAAATCTTGGATAATTTACTAATCTACAAAAATATCAGGGCACAAAAAGAACTAAAGCATACTTTTTACTTGATGCGCATAAGATTCAAATATTGAGTCTGAAGTTAAACATAACATTTTGTCCCTCTTCTACATTAGTGCGTTGATATTGTCGTTAACTATTCCTGTATGATCGTGTTTGTTTTCACTGTTTTGCAACAGGTTTGAAATCTCAACAAGAACCATCCATACATAGCAGGTCGTTAGGAAGATTGTCTCTCTTCCTGTTTCCCTCACCTTCATAACTATAAAGCTAATTTTATGACATGACGCCAAACCCTAGGTTGTGATGACATGCTAGGTCCAGATTCATTACAAACCCTTCATGGTGTGACATAGTTGGTACACCCCAAGTGTGGAAGCCTGCATCAGTCCTCCAAGCAGATTGCACTGTGTGACAGCTTGAACATTAGTTATTTGTAGGCTGTTGCTGCTCAGTTCCTCCACCTCTGCTTTGCATCTATAGTTCCATTCAAATCCCTAAGGAGGCAATGTTAAAGTCCCTGAGCATCTTATAGAGGGGACATCTGACCCCAGTCAGCATTTCTGAATTATTTTATGCAACCACCAACATAGGTTGTATAAAATCAAACTCAGGATGAAAATAGATCCACAGGGCTGAAGGCATGGCTCAGTGGTTAAGAACTATGTACAATTAATTCACAGTAGCCATATTGGGCAACTCACAGCCACCTGAGCTCCAGCTCCAGGGAAGCTAATGCCCTCTTCTAATCTCCATGGACACCCACACATACATGAACATACCTACACACAGACATACACACACATTATTAAAGATACTTTTTTTTAATGTTTCATGTCCTAAGAATCTCTTTCAACAAATGTCAATGGAAAGACTTTTTATTATTTTTAAACATGTATGTGCACATATGAAGAGATCAGGATTGAGCTAGTTTTTTTTCTTCTACCATGTAGTTTCTAGAGATTGAACTGGGTCATCAGACTGGAAGACATGCCTTTCCCAAAATTTTCTTTCTTTTTTCTCTTTCTTTTTATTTTTCTAAATAAGGTTGACTCAAGTGTACTGTCTAATTCACCTGCATCACACCGGTTAAATTCTTTCACCAGGTCTCGGTGAAGCACTTTCTGACTGCCTTAGCGATTGACATGAACTTTTCTACAGACTCCTACTTCTCCCTCTCTCAGTAGTTGTTGAATAAAATATGTAATCTTGTCCTATGATTAGAATGTGCTTTCAGCCCAGCTGCCAGTTGCACACCCTTCCAGCTCTGGGATGATGTGGATGGCTCCTTCCCCACTCTAGTACAGTTCACATGAAGTCCATTCTCCTACTTGTTTTCAGTTCTAGAACGCAGCTGAAATAAGAACATCCTGCATACGCTTGGAGCATTAAGGGACTTAGTTGTTAGTTCAGCACTATTTCCTTTTTCCTGGAGTTGTCAGGGGAGATATAGCAAAAACAAAGAAATGGTCTTCAGGTTCTGGCCCCAGTATTGAAGGAGCACATAACCCTTTCCATGAAACCGAAATCTTTCGCTGTAACGTGCATGGCAGCACGGTTACTGCGTGTGTAGGTTATTTAAATTGCTTCGGCACCTTTGTTTGAGTTTTGATCATCTACTTCTGCTGCATCCTCAGCAGCGCACAGAAGAGACAGTGAATTGTGGCTATTTCTTGTTCTCCCCGGTGTTGTGTATCCTGTGCCTGCTGCCACCATCTGCTGTGCTGGTTGAGGCCAAAGCTTGAGAGCTCTCTGACCATCTATAGCCAGGCCACCCTCTGGGATAGGAGAGCTGGGAAGCTGAAGCAACAGCAGGAGAGCAGCAGGTTGGGCCAGCAGCCACCACTTCCACTACCCAGACAGGCAGACTGGCTCGCTTTTATGTCAGCATTTATATTTGTTATATATATTTATGGATATATATTACACATAAAGTACATTGGGAAGCAGTCCCATACCATTCTTTAAATCTGTACGTGTTGGAGATTACTTTGTCTTTGAGTGTTTGATAGACAAGACAAAGGACCATCTGTACTGGGAGGGGAAAGCAGGAGTAACCTTGGGTAACTTATTAGATATAATTTCACACTTAGGAAAAATTGCAAGGATGGTATAATGTGCTTCCTCATTTCCTTTATAAGACATGCTATATAGTGTATTTACTCACAGCCATATAGTGTATTTACTAAGAACAAATGCATACTCTTGCATAAACAGTACATTTTTCAACCTCAGGGTATTTCATTTGACAGTAATACCATACCATCATTTCCAGTCCATTGTTCCAGTTTTGTTGGTGGTTCCAATAATGTCCTTTTATAGCTAATTTTCTCCGGTCTGGAATCCTGTCCAGAATCACATTGCATCTGATTCCCGTATCTCTTGGTCTCTTTCTGTTCTCGAGTTTGAATGAGTTCTTGTTGTTATGTCAAGCATACTTAAGGGCCCATTGAGGGCTGTTTGCTTTACTCTTTTGTCTGTGCCTTGCATTTCTAGAATTCCTGTGTGGTCTTTCCATTTCTTGACTAACTTTTCCATCTGTGGTAGTTTGAATAAGAACAGCCCCATAGACTCGCTTAGTCACCAGGGAGTGGAACTGTTTGAAAGGATTAGAAGAATATTGGAGGAAGTGTGTCTTTAGACCGGCTCTCTGTCTGTGTCTCGCTCTGTCTCTCTCTCAGTCTCTCAGCCTGTGGATCAGGTTGTAGCTCTCAGTTATTACCCTACCTCATGTGTGCACCATGGTCTCTGCAATAATGATAATGGGCTACCCTCTGAAACCCCCCAGTTCAATGCTTTCTTTCATAAGGGCCGCCTTGGTCATAGTGTCTCTTCCCAGATAGATCAGTGAGTAAGGCACCCTCTGATCTTGTGTGTTAGAACCTTTACTATGTGGGCATTGTTGGTATTGGTGGTTCTTTCATCTGTGTCACATCTGGTCTGCTTGTGCTGATCTTCAGCTTGAGAGCATGGTGTTATTTTATTTTTCATTAAAAAGGAACATTGTCATGTATGGCAGTAGCCATAGGTGCTTACTGCTTGCTCTGTTATGCAGGGGATCCTTCATCTTAACATGCCACAGTCTTCCTATTCTAACTATCTGTTCCATCCTCCATATTTGGTCTGTCCTTTGAGCTGCCTCAGAGACTACCTGAAATAATTTCCTAGTGACAGTCAACAGTAGCTGGCTCGGTGCTGGTACCTTGCTGGTGACAGGGCTGGTGTTCTGATTCTGAATCAGCCCTCAGGGCCCTGAGTCCCTAGCAAGTGACTTTTACCAGTGCTTGTCAACTCTGCAGTAGGTTAGCTCCAGCATTGCATCTTGGGGTGCTTGGAAGGTTTCGAGAACAGGATTCAGTGGCTGGCGAGGGGCAGACTACTTAGCTAAGTGGGTGGGGAGCATGTTGGCCTTTTTTTTTTTTTTTTTTTTTTTTTTTTTTTTTTTTTTGCCTGATTTGGAAGTACAGGTAGAATGTATAGTTGACTGTGTTAGTCAGGGTTCTCTAGACAAACAGACCTGGTAGAATCGACACATCTGAAAGGGCATTTGTTAGACTGGCTTACAGGATACTGTCCAAATAGTTCAACACTGGAAAGGCCAAGAATCCCATAGTTGATCAGTCCACAAGGCTGGGTAACTCAGCAGTCCCATGCTGACACTGGAGTCCTGGACGGTTCCTGGAGAGCTACTGGACATCAGTCTGTTGGAACCCTGGAGTAGGTTCAAATTCTGGCAAAGGAATACCTCAGCAGCAGGGTAGATCAGCTTACCTGAGAGAGTAAGGACAAACAGGCAAAGCGTTTCCTTCTTCCATGTCTTTTTATGTGGGCTGCCACCAGAAGATATGGCCCAGATTTAGGGTGGATCTTTCTGTTTCAGGTAATTAATACAGTCAAGTTGGCAAACAAAGTTGGCAATCATGTTGACAGTCATTGACCAGTTTCCAACTGCCCAGGCTGGTTACTGCAGAAGTGGCCGAGCCGAGGGCCTATGTTGATGCATAACCGTTTTGGGATACTTAATGGCATCCTGTAGTTCTCTAAAGGTTCTGTTTCTTTTTCCTTGTTCTTTTCTCGCTGCCGTAGCACAGAATGTTCTCTGTCTTTCTTCCCCTGGACATTGGTGGCCATGTGCGTGGTCCCAGCCCTAACTAAGGAGAGCTGTAAGATTTCTAAAGTCTCTTTCTAGATAACCACATGCCACTTGGAGAGTAGAACAAGCTTTCTTTTCCGGGTTCCTTGCCTCATAGCCATCCCCTCCCCATGCATCTGTCACATCTGCTTACTAGCTTAAGGGACTAGTTGTAGCTCTTTTCCCTACCCAAGCCTTCTGGGTCATTTCTGTGCAACTTTTTACCTATGTCTCAGTTTCAGGGGATCATCTTGCAGCACCTAGAGTCTTGTTACACACATCCCCATTTTTAAAGAGTTAATACCTATAACATCTGCATTTTAGCATTTAGAAAATCTCATAAATGAAGTAGGGGAGGTAAAAGCAAATACTTCTTCAGGGACCTTTGCCCTGAAATCTGCCATTCTCTTCTGAGTTAGTGGCCTCTATTTGTCATGGTCAGCTGTGCTTTGTCCAGCTGCTGTGTGGTGACTGCTTCAGATCCGTAGCATGCCATACAGGGAGGACTTGCAGAAAAGTCCTGACCAGCTCCTCAGTAGCCCTGTTTTCCCCAAAGGTGTAGGGTAGTGGTGGGGAATCTGGGCTCAGTGCTGCTGAAAACACATACATTCATGCATATGTGCCCTTTGCAGGTCAAACGTGTGTTGATATCAAAGACAATGTGGTGGATGAAGGGTTCTACTTCACTCCCAAGGGAGATGACCCATGTTTGAGCTGTACCTGCCATCGAGGGGAGCCTGAGATGTGCGTTGCTGCCCTGTGTGAGCGGCCGCAGGGATGTCAGCAGTACCGCAAGGACCCTAAGGAATGCTGCAAGTTCATGTGTCTGGACCCAGGTGAGACAGACACCCCATGACCAAAAACAGTGATGAGTATTCTCAAGAGCTGTTGGACATGACACAATGTTGGTGACAACATATGCTTATATAGCTGGCTCAGGGCCTCAATAGGCATCTGCAAAAGCCCATTCATTAGTCTCTCTTTCCCCAACCCACATTGCCTATTTCTCACTCTAAGGCAGTGTTTACAAATCAACTTGCCAGCTTCAGACCTGTCTTTCACTTCTTAAGTTTAAGACCTAAACTTGAAATTTACATGTGCTTTTGAATTCTTCCTCCTTGTTTTGTGGTGGGATGTAGAAGGTAGTGAAATAAATAGTCCTTGCTTATAATCGGCACTGTTTTAAGGATAATGCCCTTAATGTTAGGATAAAACTTCACCACTGGGTGGCGCTCTACGGTACACACTCTAGTAAAGTTTCAGAGTAACTGTGCTCCTTTCACTTGGGACAAAAGAACATACATGGGACTTGGATGTTCTCGGTGATAGAGCACTTACTAGCACGTGCAGCCCTTGGTCCTGTATCTACTCCTGGGGGAGAATTCAACAGATGTGAGCCCTGCTCAGGCACATCAGCACCCAGAGACACCCTGCATGGCATCTTTCTCTGCTGTACATCTGAGCCACTGACATCTCAGCATGAACTGGAGCCTCAAGAGGAGCAGGAACTAAAAGCACAAATTTCTTTTCTTGGGTATCACGGTGTGAAAGTGATGTGGGTAGGCCCTGGGGCAGGCATGAAGATTGTGTCCTCATTCTCCAGGAGCTTTGTGGGAGGGAGGCTAGAGCTGGAGTATGAGGCACAACTGTATACTTCCCTGACAGAGTGCCATCATTGTCCTTCCACAAGGGTTGCTGAGTAGGAGAGTGGAGCTGTCCTAGAGCCTACGACGGAGGCTATACAAGCAAGGCATTCTGCACATGTACCATCAGACATGCAGAGACTGTGCTTTTGGTGAAATCCACCAAGGAAATTTGGGATCAGGGAGGTTGACACATGGACCTCTTCCTTCCCACAGAATAGACAGTTTTCTCATTGTATAGATGCATCCATTTAGGGTCATGGAAATACAGATGCCAATTGGGTATTTGTAAAGTGCCCCTAGCCACACTGCTGTAATCTTCCAGCTTAGATGTTATTTATGGGAGTCAAACTTAGAACTTTGACAAACTACATCATCTGAGTTCATGGTTTCACTTGTTAGGAATCTGCCTTTGCCTCTCTATTTGGGCTCTATAGAAATAACCAGATTATATAGGGTGGCCCATCTGTGATATAATTTGCCTATTAAGTCTGACCATCCATTGGGGACTTACCAGCAGAGCAGACAGGCCCCGAGCTTCCGCAGACCACTTTTCTACACAGCTGAAGGAGCTTGACCAGGACTTGCTCTGCTGTGCTGTTTCCACAGGACCCTGCCTTTCCCATAGAGGCCTTTGCTAGGGATTACTCAGTTACACCAAGGACCAACCCTGCTGTACAAGTAGAGACAACAGGGAGAGTCTCAGCGTTGGCCTTCAGTAATGCCAAGGTGACACTCTGTTCAATGTTTATTCAAGGCCAGAGGCATTGTCGGGAGAAGGGGGAACAATAGGCTTTTGGAGCAAGGGAGTCGGAAACATGAGAACATCACTCTTTGAAAATGGTATAATTACAAAGAAAGGAGGATCTACAGGAAAGTTACTAAACTACTAAGTTTAGCAAGGTCTTCAGATGGAAGGTCAGTCTGCAGAAATGCATTGTATTTATGTGTACTGTCTGTAACAGTTAAAGTACCACTTAAAATAGCACCCCAAAATAGGAAACATCTAACTGTAAACGTTGCACATTGTACATGCTGCCAGCATAAAAACACTGAGGTAAGAACGAAATCAAAGGCCTAAATAAAAAGAAAGATGCCGTGTTCATGGGTTAGAAGGCTCAGTGTCACTAGTACATTAATTTTTCCCAAATTTACTGTAGATGCTGGTACTTACAAAACAGAAATCCAGCTAATGTATTCCTAAGATGACTTACTTGGACTGGCAGAAGAGCTAGAATAGCCCAAAAAGTCTTTACAGAGTAAGAGTGTATGACACCCAGTTCACAGCTTAGATTGCAACCACAGCAGAGTTACTAATGAGAATAGTGGGGTATAGATTAAAACTAAGAAATAGAAATTAAAATTGATGAAACATTCAACAAGCAAGAAAAAGTAATTGGACAGAGAGAGCACAATCTTTGAACAAATGCATGGGGGCAGCCAGCTATCCATAAAGACCACATCTGCTACTGCAGTAAGTAGTCAAGAATCTTATAAACCAGACTAAAGAATGTTAAACTGACATTTGTGTAAGAGAATAAGAGGCCGGGTGGTAGTGGCACATGTCTTTAATCCCAGCACTCAGGAGGCAGGCAGATCTCTGTGAGTTCGAGGCCAGCCAGGTCTACAAGAACTAATTCCAGGATAACTAGGGCTATTACACAGAGAAACCCTGTCTCAAAAAACAAAACAAAAAAAAAAAAAAAACAGAAGGACGAGGGAATTTATGCCATGGGGTTATTGGGACAGGCAAAGATTTAAATACAAGCATGATCTTTAAAAACATTGGTTAAATTATATTTAATAAAGCTTACAAGTTCTTAAAAAACAGAAATGAAAAGACAAACAGGCCACTTATAAAGAAAGAGTATTTCTAAAACATAAGTCAGACAGAATTCTTATATTCAAAAAAATAAAAAGAACTCGGGGGCCTGGGAACATAACAGTTCATACCGTGTTGCCTAGCATGCATGAGTCCTTGGGTTTGAGCCCCACCCAGCATTGCAAAATAGAGCATGGGAGCACAGGCCTAGAGGCAGGAGGATCAGGGCCATCCTTGGCTATAGAACAAGTTTGAGGCCAGTTTGGTATATATGAGATTTTTGTCTCAAAAGACAGGCAAACCTTCTAAAAGCTCAATAATAAGAAAACTCAGCTGTATTAAAAATCATTTAAATTATACTTTGCCAAAAAAGATATATAACCATACTATGAAGAACCTGGGGGAAATGTTTACTATCACTCATATAGGAAAGTTATCTTCATAGACCAGAAGAGAGTTAAGCTTGAGAGCACACAGACTAGCATGGAGTGGCTAGAATACCTCGTGTGTTCCCGGGACCTTCACCTGCCATGTGATCTCAGTACAGCTTTCTGCTCTGTACCTCACTGTAGGTGGCTTGGTCCTAGATGTGTCTTCCTGGTCTCCATGGTAGAGGGGCAGTCCTTGAACATAGTTTTAGAACTAATTAGGAATTAGTCATTTGAATGAGGCTTCTTCCTTAGGCACTCACCTGGAAACTTAGTGCTTGCCTCCAGGGGACAGACCTGTCACCATCCCACAGACAGGGATCCCAGAGGGTCATCAGAGGCATCCAAACCAGCAGCTAGTTGACTGGGTGGATCTTTTCCACATATCCACTCCACAATTGAAAACATCACTTCCTGGTCTTACGAAAAGAGGGCCAAACAGCTGGGCCATTTGTATTGTCTAGACCAGCAGTTCTTAACCTGTGGGACCATCAGAAAACACTATTTCCAATGGTCTTAGGAGCTGAGACACCACTCAGTAGCAAAATTTCAGTTATGAAGTGGTAGCAACAAGAACAGTTTTTTTGGTAGGGGGGGTCACCACAACATGAGGAACTGTATTTAAAAATCACAGTGTTAGGAAGGTTTAGAACCACTCACTGGTCTAGATCAAGCTGGCTGGCAGGATTTGTTAGAGCTCTGTAGCCTGGCTGTACATATGTGGCTCATCAAGTATTTTTTTAGGCTAGTCTTTGGGGACCTGCCTTCCAAAATTTGTAGAGGTGGAGAGTGGACAACTCTAGATGGAGTAGGGCACTGCATATGCAGGGCCTTCCTTCTTTCAGGAGGGGCCACATCCTAACCCATCGGCCTGATACTTTATATCGAGGTTGAGAGCACATTAGAAGCTCCAGTCACACAGTGCAGCCACTTGGCAATAGAAGCCATCTACTACCTTCATAGTTATACCATGTTATACCTGGTATAACACATACCATCAATCATGCACCATCAGTAGACACACCTGTGAGTCCCCAGTGTGTACCAGGTCCATCTTGGTGTATTGGCATATTGGACCAAGGTTGAGTGGTGAGGGGCTTCCTGCCTACCTGGTAATCAGTGTCTCTGACCTATACTCACTAAATGCCATTAGCCCCTCCCTAAAGAATGGAAGGACTGCAAAGGGCTCTTCAGGTTGAACCTTTTGTTTCTTGGTCTCCAGTGAAGCATGAGGGCAGTTTAGCATCCTCTTTCCCCAAATTCATCCAGAAAGAGGAAGCTGCTGCTGCCCTGGTCCCTCCTGCACCTGCATGAGTGTACACAGTATAGCTGAGGCTTTTTACAGAAAGTCTTCTTCAGGCATTTGCAGTGAAGGCCATCCTGGGATCTATTGTGTGTTGTAGGAGGAGGGCCCAGTTGTTCTTCCCGGCCACCCAGCTACCTTAGCCCCAAAATAACCACACAGAAATTGTATTAATTAAAACACTGCTTGGCCCATTATCTCTAGTTTCTTATTGGCTAATTCTTGCATCTTAATTTAACCCATTTCTATTAATCTTTGCATCTCCACATGGCAGTGGCTTACTGGGAAAGATTCTAATCAGCGTCCATCTCAGGCGGGGGATCCATGGCTTCTCTCCAACTCTGCTTTCTTCCTCCCAGCATTCAGTTCTGTCCCCTGCCTACCTAAGTTCTGCCCTATCAAAAGGCCAAGGCAGTTTCTTTATTCATTAACCAATGAAAGCAACACATATTACAGAAGGACCTCTACACCATTTCCCCTTTTCTATTTAAACAAAAATGAAGGCTTTAACATAGTAAAATCACATATAACAAAACAGTTATCAAGCAAGAATTATAGTTACAATATTTATATCTACTTTATATTTTATCATAACTAAGAAAAACTATATCTATTCTTCAACTCCATCAAAGACTCCAGAAGGATATAATATTACCTAAGTAAACAGGAAGTACATTGTAAGCAACTTCCAAAACTCTAGAATTGACAGAGACATCTCGTTGCCTGGACAGTTACCCAAAGTTCTTCTGTACTGTTGGGGCATCCATCTTCAGCCTACAGGCCCATAGTATCCAGCAGACATTTTCATGAAGCAGGAAATTTCAAAGACAGTTCAGTCACTTTTCTTCTGTGTCCTGCAGAATGTCTCACGGACTCTTTCATGAAGCAGGAACCCCAAAGGACCATCTCACCTTTAGGCAAATTGAGCAGTCATCTTTCTGTGGGTACTGCATGTCCAGTGAAGCAGTCCAGGCAAGAGCAGTTTCTTGCCCAAATGGCTCCATAAGGAGCCTCTTTGATGCACATCTTCCTCTCGAAGTAGCTGGTGCTGCCAGAAGCAGATGTGTCTCACTGTAATGAAAAGTCCGAAATTCGATTTGAAGAATACCTGTCTAACTGAAATGTATCTCTATACATGTAGAAAATACAACTAACATGACTACAAACTTGACTATTATAGATTATCTATTAACCTATATTTCTTAATTATACATTACATTGTTAAATGAACTATACCATCACAATACCTTAATCAAGATCAGAAATACATATACATATAAAAATGACCATAAATTTGTATCAATAAATCAAGATTCATACCAATGCAAATTATTGATATCTATATCATATCCCCCTTTAAATGTAAATAAACATTTATAGACAGTATTTGGGAATATGGGTGCAGTTCTGTCCATACTGCTTCCTGCTGACTGGGGGCGCTGTTAATCGGGTCTTTCATGGTGTGTTCTGTGTGCAGTTGGGCAAAGTAATTTTTTGAGGGTATTCACAGCAACCTTTCATGGGGGCATGGTCTGTCAGGCCATATTGATCTAGAAACAATCCATAGATTCTCATCTTCTGTGAAAACAAAAGAGAAACCTCTTTTCCAAAGCACCATATCCTTTTAGGCCAAAATTCTGAAGTCAAGATACCTTTATAATATACATGCTGGTTTAGCTTGGCAGCCCATACAATGAAATGGCTCTCTGTACTTAGCTCATTCATAGTCCAAAAATTCAAAGAAAACACAATAATATATATAATTCAGACTCTGTAAATTTTCCATCTTTACGTGACTTGTTTCTACTCTATTACTTTTTAATATTTGTTTTATTATTTTTACTTCTTTAATCTATGACTGTACTCTGTCTATTTAAAGACTTTACCCTTTTTTTTAAAAGCATTAACTTTATTTTATGACTCTTTATACTCTTTTTCTTCTCACTTCCAAGCCTACATACATTTATCCAACACTGTGACCCATTTACAGGTCTTTTATGTCTGAATCTGTCCTACTGTGTATCTGTAATTGTTTATTGTCCAGGAGCACTTCTTAAAATGCTAAACACATCTTAAAAACTTAAGTTGCACCATTAGTAGGGGTACTACTGTACCACTGTTTGCCTGCCCAGTCTAAAATTTAAGCTGTGCTACTATTATGATAAATACAGTAGTTCCTGCTAGCTCTGCACAGTCCAGCATGGCAGAGCTGCTTGAGTCTCTGAACTGCTTGCAGTGCCTCACTTCCAGGCACACAGTGAGTCCATGTTTCCACCAAGCAAGCTGCAGCAGTCTACTCACAAACCCCACTCAGATGCTTTGTCTCCCACAGGAGCCAGAGGTCACTCTAGCAACATAGCCCAGAAAGCCAGCATTTTAAAGCCGCCACTTTTTTCCTGCTGTGGCTACTGAGTCAGAAAAATCTCTCTTAAAGGAGCTACAGCACGCAGCCAGCAAACAGCAAAAAGCTGTGTTAAACTCTTTATATTTTTTTCTTCTAGAATTCTTTTTTCAAGCCCTCTCAGGTTTTACATGGGTTTAGTTGACCACATTGGGTGCCAATTATTGTAGGAGGAGGGCCCAGTTGTTCTTCCTGGCCTCCCAGTTAGCTTAGCCCCAAAATAACCACACAGAAATTGTATTAATTAAAACACTGCTTGGCCCATTATCTCTAGTTTCTTATTGGCTAATTCTTGCATCTTAATTTAACCCATTTCTATTAATCTTTGCATCTCCACATGGCAGTGGCTTACCGGGAAAGATTCTAATCAGCGTCCATCTCAGGTGGGGGATCCATGGCTTCTCTCCAACTCTGCTTTCTTCCTCCCAGCATTCAGTTCTGTCCCTGCCTACCTAAGTTCTGCCCTATCAAAAGGCCAAGGCAGTTTCTTTATTCATTAATCAGTGAAAGCAACACATAAACAGAAAGACTCCACACTATTTGTGCTCTATTGCGTGTATGCCACAGTGAGATTGATTTCGGTGCTGTGGCTTGAGGACTCAGAGCTGCAGTGGAAATTGTGGGCATGTCCAAGTTAATCCTCCTTTGTGAGTCTTGGCCCAGACAGTTGTTGGAAGGCACCGTGTAGCAGCTTTCTCTTGCATGCCGTCCTCCAGTGAGCTCAGGCTTAGTCTTACCTGTATTGTCATTCTGTCGCTGTTAGACACCCACAACCTTGGTAAGGCACCTGGCCCCCCAGTTATATCACAGTCCAGCAAGTGCAAACCAGTCCTAGAGCAGAAATCTCTGCTCCCTTGCTCAGTGGCAGCGGCCTTTCATACAGTGGCCATACAGCCACTGTGTCCCAGAACAGAGAAATAGCGCCCAGTGTGCAGCGCCTTTGGAAACTTCTGAGCTGCATCCCCTTTCTTGCTTTTTCAGTGTTGTCACAACAGAGTCTCAATTTTGAGCATTTGGGGGGGGCGGGTTCGTTTTTCTTTTTGTTTGTTTGTTTGTTGAGACAGGGTTTCTCTGTAGCTTTGGAGCCTGTCCTGGAACTAGCTCTTGTAGATCAGGTTGGCCTCGAACTCACAGAGATCTGCCTGCCTCTGCCTCCGAGTGCTGGGATTAAAGGCGTGTGCCACCATCACCCAACTTGAGCAGTTTTCTTTTACTCTCTATTCTTAAAAAAAAAAAATGTCAGAAACAGTATAAACCACTATTGGGATGGAGGGGAGAAGCCTCAGCCATGCCGGCATTTGTTCTAGCCCACCCCTAGCCCTGCAAGTTCCTTTTCTCAGCACAGCTGCTTTCCTTCCTCCTCACCCCTCCTCATAGATGGCAGCAGCCTGTTTGACTCCATGGCAAGTGGGATGCGCCTGGTCGTCAGCTGTATCTCCTCCTTCCTCATCCTCTCGCTGCTGCTTTTTATGGTCCACCGACTGCGCCAGCGGCGCCGGGAGCGCATTGAGTCCCTGATTGGAGCAAACTGTGAGTGCCCTCCAAGGGCCACAATAGTGACCCCTCTCCAGCCCTCCTAGCTCTTCCAAGTCCCCCCAGTCCTAAGTTGTATCCCTCCAAGATAGAACCTGGTAAGTAGGAGAGAGCGGTGTCCCTCTGCACCTACACACCTGCTTGTTTTGGGTCTGAACACACCTTGGAGAGCCAGAGACATGGGATGCCTGAGGAAGTGTTTGTGGACTAAAGTTCAAGGCAGGCTTTCTGCCCTCTGCTCTTTATTAGGAGCAGCGTCCCTAAACATTAAGAGCTTTCTCGTGATTAGCTTTGGGTATGGGCTACCTGCAGCAGAGGCTCAGGTACCTACAGCCACAGCAGGAAGCTGACATAATGTCTTAGCCAGAGTTCTCCAGCTCCTGGCCAGAAGGCCTCTCCTCAACAACAGGAGGCTTAGGAGCAAGTTGCCCACAGCTACAAGGGATCTCACCTGTTCAGTGAAAGGGTCCCCAGTGTTTCCTAGGGCAGGGGTAAAGCTTGCTGACTAGGATCCCAATTTGTCAACAGTTGGCAGCAGTGTCTTCCTAATCTGCCTTAGTGCTCATCTAAGTTTCTTAATAGGTAGGTACCAGGAGTGAATTGGAGCTGGAGCTACAGTAATGCCAAGGGTGCTCCTGTAGTCAGGTGACAGGGTAGGAATAGGTTGCATATAGGTGGGGTGAGAACACCTCGGTAGGAGAAACACAGGGATGGGAGGTTCTGACTAAATCAGGGTCTGATGTGACCTGTTGGTGTGTGGCTGGCAAGTGGGTAGATGGTTACAGGAGTGTGACACTGGGGTGGCAGGGTCAGGAGTGTGACACTGGGGTGGCAGGGTCAGGAGTGTGACACTGGGGTGGCAGGGTCAGGAGTGTGACACTGGGGTGGCAGGGTCAGGAGTGTGACACTGGGGTGGCAGGGTCAGGAGTGTGACACTGGGGGGTGGCAGGGTCAGCCTTGGGAAGGAGGCTCAGGAGCCTGCCTCCAAATCATACAGCTTCCCTCCTGTTTCTCTGTTTTGACGGCTCAGTGCACCATTTCAACCTTGGCCGGAGGATCCCTGGCTTTGACTATGGTCCAGATGGGTTTGGCACAGGCCTCACCCCACTACATCTTTCTGACGACGGGGAAGGTGGGACTTTCCATTTCCACGACCCTCCGCCTCCTTATACAGCTTACAAGTACCCAGACATGGACCAGCCGGATGATCCACCACCGCCCTATGAGGCTTCCATCAACCAGGACAGTGTCTTCTATGACCCTGCAGGTGCCTGTCCCCCTAGGGAGAGGGAATATGGAGTTGTCAAGCGATCAGGAATGCAGGGGTAGGACTGTAGGGTTTCCTGGGATCTGAGGACCTGCTTTTCCTTCTGGCTGCTTTCTCAGTCTTACTTTAGGGTCGTTCTCAAGATTGCCCCCTCAGAAGGCTCTTGGTCCCAGCCTCCTGAGAGTTCTGAGGATCCATGGGCAGCATCCTTCTCTTCTCCTATTAGTGGCTGGGCAGCTCTCAGGGCCTCAGCTCTTCTCTATAAAGCAGTGGGGGCCTGGGCAGCAGGGACCACACGGACAGATCTGGTCCTGCCCCAGCTCTGGAGCTTGTTCTAAACCATAAAGACACCACTATAGCAGCTCCTCGTGTTGTATCGAAAAGTCTCCTGTTCCCACCTGACCTGAGTTGTTCTTCCTAGACTCCATAGCTCAGGAGGAGTGTCCGGTGTGCCGCTTTCATCCCTGGCCCATTAGGCAGGAGTGCTCTCCTGTTCCCTGCATTCTGCAGCCGAATGGGACTTTTAACACTGTTGAGGTCTGGGGCTAGGAGAATTTGATTCCTGCCTTCAGAGCAGATTGTCAGAGACTTGTCAGAGAGGCCACAGTCAGAGCTTGGGACATAGCTCAGTTGATAGAACGTTTGCATGCTAGAGGCCCTTGGTTGGATCTTCAGCACTGTAGAAGTGTTGAGAAAAGATGAGTTTCCACCAAGTCTGCACTAGATAAATGCCAATTTCCCTCTCGAGGCTGCAGAGCAGGAAGTGGGGATGGAAATAGCTCATAGCCTTGGCCTCTGGTCACCAGTATTCAGAACCAGCCCAGAGTACTAACTAAGCAGGGTGGTAGGTTGGTGCTGACACAGTGGTTCCTGCCCAGCCCCTTTGCTGTAGTTACCATAGTTCTGCAGCCCAGGGGGTTCTGTCCAGAAGCTCTTTGTTGTGTGTCCCTGTGGAGACAGAGTGCCTTCCCTCTGGTCTCCCTTTGTTCTGAGGAGTTGGTCACTGCATCTCACCTACCACAAACAGTGGTGGCAAGATGAACTGTGTCTGCCAGAACATTAGTCTGGGAGCTCCCTTAGGTCCTGTTTCCCATTCAGCAGTTAGGAAGAGGATCCTCTGTCCCACCAAACCATCACTTACTTCCGACATCCCTCTGCTCTCCCACAGATGACGATGCCTTTGAACCCATGGAGACCAGCCTGCCAACCCCAAGGGAAGGTGGTATTGAAGGTGCATTGCCCAGGCACTTGGATCATCCACTGCCCCCTGCAGAGACCTCCTTGACAGATCTGGAAGACTCCACAGACAGTAGCAGTGCCCTGCTAGTGCCCCCTGATCCTGCCCAGAGCGGGAGCACCCCAGCTACAGAAACACCACCAGGTGGTGGGCGCCACCCCCGTAACTCCCTCAATACTGTGGTGTAGGTGGACTAGGGGTATCTGTTTCCTGTTCAGAAGACACCTATCCCAGTGGGAGACTTGAAGGGGTCCTGTCATAGCCTGGACCCACTCCACTGCCACATCCCCACCAGCAGCAGGTGTGTACATAGAAACTGAAGCCAGGCACCCCAAGAGAGAAGCAAGTGCCTGTGCCATCTTTATCTGAGGGTTTCTCAGTCTCATTTTTAAATGGCAGAATGACACAGGTGTTTATACCACACTTTTCCAAGAGAACAGAGGCAGTGGGATGCACTCACCAAATATATCTTTGGATGGGCTTGCTTACTGCACTGTGTCACCCCCAGAAGCTAGTCACCAACCAGTGAGCACACCAGTACAGACAGAGCAGGGTTACCACTGTATGTAACACTAGCTACCTAGAGGCCGCTACCTAGAGGCAGAGCATCTGTGAACTTCCAGGGAAAGCATTCGCAGCTGCTGCACTGGCTCTCTGGGGGCATTCTGTTTGGCCCCAAATGCAAATATTGAGGTGCCAGTCCCTGGGAGAAAGTTGAACTTGCTGCCCCATTTCCAGCTTTGTTTTGAGGCCAGCACTGTGGCAGCACTCTCCATGGCGTAGCTCTGCATGGCTCCCCAGGAGTAGACTCTAGACCCCTTGGAGGGTTGGGCATGCTGGCTTTTTTCTGCCACCCACTGGATCCCTGTGCTCTGCTTGCTGGTGAATGACTATTGAGTCTGGCCAGCCCCCTTCACCTTGTCTGTGCCATAAAGGGTTATTCATTTGGGAAGAGAGTTGGCTCAGTAGACACCCTGTGGTTGTGTCACATGAGTCCACTTCACCCCATGACCACCGCTGGAGCCCAGCAGCATCTGCTGACCACACACATGCCTCCCAGCCCCTCCGCAGCACTGGATACCTGGGGCTTTTTGCCCCAAAGGACCCTGTTGCCAACTCCATGCCATGGTCTTGTCTCCTGACACAGGCCTTCAGCATTTCTATGGTTTGGAGATTAAGCAAGGTTCTGTGCAATTTTTAGCACATTCGTATCTTTTCTATGTTGAATGTCTGGATCTTTCTGTATCTGTATGTGTCCTCACGTGGCCAAATGTTTGCAGGTGATGGTGGGTGATTCATGGGAGCTCAGGATGGCCCACTGCCCCATATGAGTTCTTGGGCTGTTCTTAGACCACTGTGTCTGAGCTGCCACCTAGGCCGTGGTCAGTGGGACTGGGACTCCTGTCCAACTAAGAACATGAGCAGGAGAAACTACTACGACCTCCAGCTCTTTGGTGCTTGATCAGACCTGCACAGTTCTAGGCATATCCTTACACTGCTTGGAAACCTGTTTCCCCTCCCATGTGGAGCATCTTCAGAGAATCCCCAGGGCTGGCTGGAGGTTTAAGATTTGTCCCTGGATAGTCTGTCCCAAGGCTTGAGCCCACAGGCTAGCTGCTGCAGACATCCCTCTGCCAAAGGGCTCGTGCCTCCTCCACTCATGGCTTAGAAGAGCAGGAAGTTCATCATGCCTCCGGCAAGTATTGAATGCTGGACACTGGGAAGCCATGCTCCAGAGCAACAGTGGGGAATTGTCTTGGTGCCAGGCCACCCAGAAGAGTCCTAAGAACCACACAGCAGTGCCTCAGAAGGCCATATGTACAGACAGAAATTCTCTGGGGACCAAATGACAGTTGGGGTTGGGGCCTGATTCTAGGAGGCAGAGGTGAAGAGGGTGACTTAAAGTGGACCATGGTGCTGCTGAGGTGGGCCTGCGGGGCTACCAGGGTGCATGTGGCCTGTGTTTGGGGCTGTTTGAACTGTTGCTGTTGTAGTTCCAAGCACTGGGATCTGACACCTTCTCCAGATCTTATTGGTGAATAATCCCAGGTCCAGGATTTGCTAAGGTTTGTGTTTCCTTGCCCATCCCACAAGGCCCCAGAGGGACAGGCCAAGCTCCTGGGAGGTCCCGTTCCCAGGACTGCCTTGCCACTCCTGTGAGAGGCTGGGTGCCCTCTGACCTGCCTTGAGGTGGAATTTGATTCTGTACATTGTCTCAATGCCTGTTTTTACATACTCCTTTCACTAAAGGTTTTAGTTTGGGTGTATTTTTGGTCGGGTTGGCATTAATCCTTTCTTAAGATGCTGTGAGAACCATTTCATCCAATGCCAAATAAACTTGTGTTATGGAAAAGGCATGGTCGGTCCTTGTTGCAGCCCAGCCCTATAGCCAGAGCTCTCCTAAGTTTTCAGCCCTTATAGGCAACCAGCTGGCTTCTGACACCCTTTTATTAAGAACCAGACAGCTAGACCTGGAACGTCTGTACAGGGTACATGGCAGGGCCACCCTGTGCTCCCTCTGAAGCGTTATTAAAGTGACAGGCATGCTGGTTCCCTCTGGTTACTGGTGACCAGTGTGAGTTAGGCTGAGCAGAGAAGGACATGGGACTTGGTCCCTTAGCTGTTCAGATCGAGTAAGCAGCCCCTTCCAGCAGAGCAGCTCTAGGTTCTAAGAGGATTGGGCTGGCTACCTACAGCCAGGCTTGACTGGACCCTGCCTCCCTGCAGGGGCCAGAGAGGCCCACTCTGGCACTAGCAGGGCCTGTTGACTTGGGCTGGGCTCCCTCCTGAAGGAGGGTGGGGATTGCACTCATCCACTCTGGCACTTGGCCTACTCACAGGGGTAGGGCCTGGGGTGGGAACAGAGAAAGCACAGCAGGCTCCAGGTGGCTCTGTTTACTACTGCCATTTCTATGGTACACCAGGGTTCTTGATAGTAATTTCTTGAAGGAATCCTTAAGCTTACCTTCCTTTAAAAAAAATAATTTAGTTGGCTTTTTTGTTCTTTTTTTTTTTGCAGGGGTTGGTTTTTTGTTGTTGTTGTTTTTGAAACTCTGCATAGCCTTGGCTGTCTTGGAATTCACTATTGTAGACCAGGCTGACTTTAAACTCAGAGATCTGCCTGGCTCTGCCTCCTGAGTGCTGGGATTAAAGGCATGCACCACTATGCCTGACATCGTATTTTAGTTTTTATACTTTGTGTGTGTGTGTGTGCGCACGCTTGTGCCTGAATATATTTATGTGCACCACATGCATGCAGGAGCCCTCAGTGATCGGAACCCAGGAACGAGAGTTACAGCTGTAATCAAACTTGCTGTCCTAACAGCCTTTCCCACTAGCTTGGAAGGGCAATGACAGAACAGGCTCTCACAAAGCCTGACAAGAGGTCAGGGTTAGGAAGGAACTGCTGAGTCCTTTGATTGGAATTGGGAGCTTCAATCCCTCAACACGTCTGGGAAGAATCTGGTCCTCCAGCAATTGCTATCTTTGTTTTTGCAGCACTAAGGATAAATCCAGGGACACATGCTAAGCAAGTGCTCTTCCACTGCACTACCTGGGGCGATGGGAAGGAGATGCTGAGTACTGGCATACCCAGAGGGACAGGCCTCCAGCCCGCTCCCTGGTAATCATCAGTAGGACAAATCTTCTCATACCTACAGACACATGGTGTCCAGAGTGCCTGAGACTTGGGCAAGGGGACTTGAGCTACTGCGATATCCCCACCACAGAAGGGCTGCAGCTTCTCCCAAAACTTTTAGCAGAGTGATCCTCAGACAGGAGCATCAGCAGGAAGGCAGCTGTGGACCTGGACTTGGGACAGGTTGAAGTCTTGAGTTTGTAATAAGGCAAGAAACATTCATGCCTTCTTTCCCTAGCCTTGGTCACTAGTCTCCAAAGTGCCCTTAGTGGCTTTGGCATGTCACCCTGGGTCCCTGTCTCCCATTGCTTCTGCTGTAAGAGAATAATAATCAGCCTTCAGAATTAATGCTATTACACTGGCTGACACAGCCCTAGACCAGCTCCAGCCCACCTCTGTTCCTAGTGGCCCTACCTGGGCCCCACCCACTCCGGCCCTCTACAGCCCCGCCTCAGCATGAATGAGCAGCTTTTCAAGTAGCCTGGGCACACGTTTCTTGTCCAGTTTTCAGTTCTCCAGAGTCACAGCCCCTGCTGCATCATGTGGGCCCTGGGCTTCCTGCTCTGCTTTCTTGCCTTGCAACCTGTGGCACAGGTGGACTCCGAGGGTGAGCACCAAGGCTCTGCCTGTGTGGGCTTAGATCTCCCTGACACCGTGTAGGAGATAGACAGGGGAACAACCTCTCCTGGCTAGCCTGACCCCATTCCTGATCTCAGGCCAAAACTGAACTTTTAAAGTGCCACGTGGACTAAATAGCTCAGTCCTTGCCTCCTGCCTGCAGGTACCTGGTGCTACGACTCCCAAGACCCAAAGTGCGGTGAGGACAGTGTGACAGGCTATGTGGATCTGTGTGGTCTCTACTAGCTCCTATGCTCCTAAGGACTGGGCACTAGGCAGCAGGCACACTGTCGTCATGTGTGCCTGCTGTAATCCATGGTCAGGGTCTGTGAGCCTATGGGTGTGGCCGGGGAGGGGGGTCCCCAACATGAGTCATATCCCACATCTGTCTACCCTGTGTATGGGGCAGTCTGCCTGCAGACTCGCTCAGTAGCTAAGTCAGATGGGTCTAGAGAGCCACTGTGACCACTTGTGGAGGGAGGATGGAGAGAAGACAGTCCTCAGATGGGGATGTTCGGGTTATGGGATCCACCCTCAGTACATTCCCAGACAGCTTCTTTGGCCCTGCTGCAGATCTCAGGCTTTGTCTCCTCAGGCCCTACCCACTGGAAGGAGCTAGCACCGGCTTGTGGGGGCCCAGCCCAGTCCCCTATCAACATTGACCTTCACTTGGTCCAGCGGGACTACACTCTTGAGCCCTTCATCTTTCAAGGCTATGATTCAGCACCTCTAGACCCGTGGACCCTGGAGAACGATGGCCATACAGGTCAGCATCATAAAGTCAGGACCAAATACACAGAGCCAAGAAGTTCGCAGCTTTCAGAAATCTTACCCATACACAGGGATCAGGACACAGAGGAGCTGAGAAAGCAGCTTCTCTAAAGATCTCACCACCCCACCCCCTCCCAACACACACAAATGGACAGACCTAAGAAGCTATGAGAATGTGACACACATGAGAATCTAAATCCTCATGAACAAAGCAGATGAGGCTCTACACACACTGTAGGGAGGTGGCAAGAACCTGCCTATAAATGAAACTTGCCATGGTCAGTTTCACACCTAGATGTCAAGATGCTGGAAAGAAATCAAGACCCTCGTAACTGCACTGCTGGGGGCAGTTTGATTTCCACAGCAGGGGAGTCTGCTGGGGAGGGATAGACTCATATGCTCCTCCACCTTCAGTGATACTGCGAGTAAATTCCTGTCAGCAGAGCTGCCCGGTGATCCAAGGGGCTGGGCTGCCATCACCAGGGTACCGGCTGCTGCAGCTGCATTTCCACTGGGGCAGCCCAGGGCACAGAGGCTCAGAGCACAGCCTGGATGAGAAGCACTGCTCTATGGAGGTGGGTTCAAGATGACCAGAAGGAAGGTGGGCTTAGGAAGCAGAGGGCAGCCAGACACCACCTGTGGTCTGTATTTCCTAGATGCACATGCTCCACATGAACACAAAGTACCAGGATTTGAGGGAGGCACAACGCCACCAGGATGGGCTCGCCGTGCTGGCTGTGCTGTTGGTGGTGAGGAAGGGGCTGTGTGATTCCGTGCTTGTTTCCCAAAAGAGGGTCTTGGAGAGCAGGGATCTGTTTGAAGTCTGTGGGCATCATTGGACTTAGGGAATTTTCAGGGGGTGGGGGCCAATGGAGTGTTGATGGACATCGTGGGAAGAGACCTTCCTCGCTCCACCCCAAGATCTCCCAGACGGTCCATCTGGGCCCTTCCTACTGGTGTCCCAACTACCCTGTCTCATCTTTGGAAACACACACATACACACAACTTCGAAGCCCTTCTCACTGGAATTCTCCCCAGGAGGAGGACAGGGACAATACCAATTTCTCTGCCATTGTGTCTACCCTAAAAAATGTATCTTCACCTGGTAAGGAGCTGCAAGGTCCCATCTGGGCTGGAAGGTAGGTGGGTGAGGAACAAAAGCAGGGCGGGGGGGGGGGGGGGGAGTTCCAGCTTCTCTCTCGCCACACAGGGGTCTCTGTGAACCTGACATCCTTCCCTCTGGCCTCCCTGCTGCCAAGTGCCGTGGGGCTCTTGCGCTACTACCGATACTCCGGGTCTCTGACCACGCCAGGCTGCCAGCCAGCCGTGCTCTGGACAGTCTTTGAAAACCCCGTACCCATTGGGCACGCGCAGGTGGGAGCCACTACCCCTACCCGATGCCAGGCTCCTTCCCACAGCCTCAGTTGCCACCCCTGCCTTCTCTGTCCACCCCGTGGCGTCTTGACCTATCTTTACCCATCCTTAGGTAGCCCAGTTCCAGACCGTGCCCCAGACGGAGCCACCAGGTTTGCACCCCAGACCGCTCATGGATAATTTCCGCCCCCAGCAACCTCTTGGAGGGCGCAGGGTATGGGCCTCTCCTGGAGCATCCATCCGGTCCTCAGTCCCTATCCTGCCCTGTTTGCACCTGGCTCTTTTGGGCTTGGGAGTCGGCCTCGGGCTCTGGCAGGGCCCCTAAGATCCAGGGGTGACTCCTGCTTCCACAATAAATGATGCAGAGTGACTTTGGCCTGATGTGGCTGGGAAGAAGCGTGTGTCTAGTGGTCAAGGGGACAGTGGGGAGAGAATCCAACCCCAACCTCACTGCAGCCTCAAAGTCCATACAACCGAGAGGCTCCTGAGTGACCGCCCTTTTGCCCACCTCAATCATGGAAACTTCTTCTAAAACTGAGACCCACTCAGCTATGCAACTCTGACACCCACCTGCATCAACATGTTATTTTGAATCTCACAGTCAACGGGAAGGGAGAAAAATAATGCATCTCAAAAATGCCACCTATACCAGAAATTACATTTATTTTAAAAACAAGCTAGGTAACCAAAAAAGGGGTTTGCATTAAAATGACGATCCTCATTGCGACCCCAAGCCAGTCCTTGAGAAAAAGCAGGCTCCAGCAGAAGGCACTAAATTGGTTGCGTTTGGTGACAAAGTGCTATGAAGCCACTCCTGGTGACACTCTGGGGAAATTAGTACCCTGTGGAATGTTTTCTAGAGAGAAGCTGGTGCTGGGTGACTGTTGGGAGGGCTGAGTGAAGGGCTGTGTCCTTATCACGGTCCGAGGCTGAGTCCAAAGGATACTGACAGCGTGACGCTACAGTGCGAGAGTGGCCCCATTATCAGAAAAGTAGTGGTGGCTAGCAAACGGATGTCCGGGTCATGCCATGTAGAGGTGTATATTCAAGTGGTGCTGTGTCAGCTACCTAAGTCCCTAAAGTCTGTTACACGGTGCTATTCTAGTGCATGGAGGTCCTGCCTGCCCCTAGGACTTGAAAGGAAAAAAAAAAAGTGCAACCATTTGCTTCCAGGCTGCAGATCCCTTGGCTCTGCCAACTCCATAGCAGTCACATTCTGGTCCAGATTCTTCCCCGGCTTCAAGACTAAAGCAGGCTCTACAGAGCAGCCTCAGTCCGGGGTAGCGCAAAGCCATCTATGAAGCCTCTGCCGCCAGCCCTTTAAATAATGGTGCATCATTGGCGGCATCTGGGGAGTCCGTATAGGAGGACCAATTTGCTCCCTTCTGGGGCCGCCAGAGCCCCCTCAATCTCCTCCGCCTTGTGCAGCCGTTGGAGGCACTGGGGTTTTCTTGTGGTTCTTCCGGGCCACGGCTCGGTTTGCCAGGCCGTCGGCTGGGGCGTCCGGACCGTTCTCCGTGGCCCTCGAGGCTGAAACCAACGAGTTCACGGTGCCGAGGGCCCGCAGCAGGGCGGGACCGCGGGGCTCGCGGCGAGCGGGCGGCGGTGGCGGCGGCGGCAGCAGAGCTCGCAGAGCGTCTAGCTCGGTCCGCAGCTCCGCGCGCAGCGCCTCGAGCCCCGCACCCAGCTCCGCACGCACGGCCGCCAGCCCCTCCTGCAGCCGCCGCTCGCTCACCTCCAGGACACCAGCGGGATAGGTGGCGCCGCCGCGCGGCTCCCCGCACACCGAGCACACCGAGCCTCCGCTGCGCGCCTCGCTCCTCTCGCTGGTCCCTGCCGCCCCGGCTCGCGCCCCCGCGCGTTCCACCAACCGCAGCAGCCGCGGCGCCTCGGCTCGCCCCGCCGCCTCGGCCCGCAGCTGGCCACGCAGGCGAGCCAGGCGGCCCGGAGCGCGGATATCTTCGGGGACCGGCCCGTTGGGCTGCGCGCTGGGGTCTTGCCGGCGGCCTACGCCTCGCCTCAGCGCCTCTTTAGCGCCGTACACAGTGCGAGCCTGAGTCCACGAGCGCCCGGGCTCTGCCGCCATGCGCTGCCACTTGCACCACACTGACAACCCAGCAGAGAGGACCTGGGCCCCAGCCTGCAGCCTAGCGACCGTGGGACCCGCGGGAACGAGCTCCTGGGACGTCTGCGGGAACGACCAGGCCTAGGGGAATCCCGGCAGGGCCAGATCCTCCAGGGAGGCCGCGGGTTGGAGTAGAGCTGTGTCAGTAGGCAGGGGGATTGAAACTTGGCCCTAGAGACCATGTTGTAGGCTGGGGCCCCTATATGGGACTTAGGTTGGTCTCTAGGCAGCGGCAATAGCACATGGCGCAATGGCTGCTAAAGCCCAAGACACCTTAAGGCCAGAATCAAAATCCGCCTCACCTCCTCTCCGCGCTGTCCTGGCCACAGCAGGGCAAGCCTGGGATGGATAAGGATCAACCTCCTACTTCAACTCACAGTCCAGGTGGGGTGTGTGTGTGTGTGTGTGTGTGTGTGTGTGTGTGTGTGAGAGAGAGAGAGAGAGAGAGAGAGAGAGAGAGAGAGAGTCCTAAGCTAGCCAAACACTCTACCTGCTCTACATCCCCAACCCAAGCCACTTTAACTACTCTATCTCTTGTGTTGTGTCTACCGCAGTCCACATCCAGCCACAAGACTCCATCCTGTCACTGGCATCTCCAACCCCAAACTCTTGCCCCTCTCCCTAACCTTCTGAGGGGCGTCCTCACCCTAGCATGTGCCTATTCCTAGAGATGGCTGCGCCCCGGCCCATCTCATCCTGTGTCCTCCCATATTCTGTTTAACCAAACAACCTAACCAGCCCTCTGGGCCTTCACATAGAAAAACCCGGTGTCCCTGCCCTCTGCTGAGCTTCTTCTTATTCCACTGCTACACAGAGCCTTCCTTGACCACCTAAGAGTCGCAACTAGTAACAGGAGCCTCAACCACAAGCAAGTAACTTTCACAACATTGCAGGGGTGGGAGCGGGGGAAGGGTAGTGAAAACAGGGTTTCTCTGTGTAACAGCTCTGACTGTCCTGAAACTGACTTTGTAGACCAGGCTGGCCTTGAACTCAGAGATCCTCCTGCCTCTGCTTCCCAAGTGCTGGGAGTAAAGGTGTGCACCATCACCACGCGGTCTCCTATAGCTAAAACTGGTCTCAAACTCTGTATGTAGCCAAGAATGACTTTGGATTCCTGATCCTCCTGCCCCTCGAGTGCTAGGATTACAGGTGTGTGTCACTATGCCCAATTTATACCGTCGGTGCTAGGGACAAACCCAGGACCTCATTCCTGCTCAGGAGCCACCCAACTGAGATATATGCCCAACTGGCTTGGGCTTTTGTTTGGTTTTTTTATTATTTCATGTGTATGAGTGTTTTGCCTGCATGTGCGTCTCTGTACCACATATATGCTCGCAACCGGAGGAGGTGGTGAGCCTCCAGGTGGGTGTTGGGAACAGGACACTGAATCCTGGTCTTTCACAAGTGCCTTTAACCACCGAGCCAACTCTCCAGCATGTTGTTTAGTTTGGAGAAAAAGACTTGCTATGTTGCCTGGATTGATCTGGAACTCCTGTCCTCAGGTGTCTCCTGCGTCAGCCTCCAGAGCAGTTGAGACTGTAGGCACGTACCATTACACTGATTCTAGATGACTCTCTGCCCCTCCTCCACAGTGAGGCACCTGAGCCCATGGTTGGCTCTTCTGGGTTGAGTCTGGCACTGGGTTAGGTCCTTAGTGTTGCTAAACGTGTTGAATGTTTGGCGAGGGAATAACTATGTGGATGCTCAGGCTTGACCGCTCCTACCCACCCTGGCCAAGTTCCTGCCCTTGCTAACCTTTCATCCCCGACTGTCTTTATTATCCTTTCGCTTTCTGTGGAGCCTCTCACTACTGCCCTGGTTCATTGCCACCCCTGCACTTGTGTGTGACATAGTGAGTTATACATCCCTCTAGAGGGCAGCATCTCCCCACCTAGCATTCTCATTGGGGCCTTGTTAGCACTCTGGGTGCTCCGTGCCCTGGGACCTCCCAAGAAAATTATAAGGAGAAAGGGCGCTGCATGGATCCAGCAGTGCTGGGAGGAAGCCTTACTCTGAATGCCCAGGTGCGGAGAGGCTAGCCTCTGCACCTCTACCTGCACGTGTGTGGAGAGGCTAGCCTCTGCACCTCTGTACCTGCACGTGTGTGGAGAGGCTAGCCTCTGCACCTCTGTACCTGCACGTTTGGAGAGGCTAGCCTCTGCACCTCTGTACCTGCACGTTTGGAGAGGCTAGCCTCTGCACCTCTACCTGCACGTGTGTGGAGAGACTAGCCTCTGCACCTCTGTACCTGCACGTGTGTGGAGAGGCTAGCCTCCGCACCTCTGTACCTGCACGTGTGTGGAGAGGCTAGCCTCCGCACCTCTGTACCTGCACATGTGTATATACGCAGGGGAGTCGGGGGTGCTGTCTACTGTTTGTGGGCAGCTGGGTAGAAGGCCACATGTTTCCCCTCTAGTTCACTCATTTCACTCCATCATTCTCTAGAGTCAGGAGATGAGAATGTGGCATTTGGCCTCTCAGACTCACCCTATGCTCGCTGAGTTCCCTGTGTCCCTGGGACCACCTGTATTTGGTCCAGATGAACTCTAGAGCCCATTAACCACGTCCCTCCCCCAACTCCTAGTTAAAATGCTGCTTACTAAAATGCCCTGAACTCCTGTCCCAGGCCTGCTTTCCAGGCTGTGTGGCCAGAGGGGCTCTACCTTCTCTTAACTGAGTCTGCACCAGGAAGCCTAGCAACTGGGAGAGAGGGGCTGAGGGTGACAGGGCTCTGAGCTTGCAGCCCAGCGGTGACAATGTTATAGGCGGAGGGCCCCGTGCAGAGAGGCGAACAATTTAGTGTTTCTGTATTTTAGTCGGGGTGTTGTGAATTAGCCGAGTTACACACTGAGCCTCTGAGGTGGTTCCCAGGTTTGTCCATTGATAAGACTGCAGATGCGGGGTCTGAGGCTTGCGGCAGGAATCCATGGGGTGCCTAGGAAGGCTCAGAGAGTGGGGTCCAGAGTGGGTTTTAGCTATGAGAGCTGAAAGACAAGTGTGGGTGTACAGTCCCGAGCCTCCGAGTTCAAGAAGCAGGTGGCACGGCCTGGGGCTGTTGCGTTTGTCTCACACAGGCCTGGGGCCCTGGGATCATGACCCAGTACCACGCGGGGGAGGAGTAAGCCTGGCCTAGGTCTGGTGGGGGTGGCGAGGCTGCAACAAATGCTGAGGTCTGGAGGTAGAAGCTGTGGGAGAACAGACAACCCTGACCTGATGATTACTTGGAGGTGTGCCTTCAAAAGAAAAAAAAAAGGATGAAGTTCAGGTGCAGAATTGGACACAGAAGAAGAAAAGAGAGCAGGCTGGCCTCTGACCCTCCTGGGGGCTTCTCAGAGCCTGTCAGCCCTTAGCTCCCAGCATAGAGGGGCTGACTTAGACTAGGCTAAGGTTAGGCACTGTGACACCAGGAGCCTGGCTGCAGGATTGTCCCCATCTGGCCCTGCTCTAGCCCTGTGCATCCAGGCGGGACCTCCTGAAAGGGCAGTCAGTGACCCTCTGCTCATTAGTTCCTGAACGAGGCGGGTGGAGTGGGAACACCTGGAGTTCCCGGGCAGGGATCAAGACAGGGCAATCTCTTTGTATGACTTAAATGTCGCCACTGTTGCTATTAAACCCTGGTGGTCACGAAGGATTTATTTCCCAGAGCTGGAGAGCAATTGGGAGCCAGGAGAGCATTCAGCCATGTTAGAGGGGCTCTGGTGGCTTCAGAGGGAAGGGAGTTTGGGGAACTCCTGGAGAATGGGGGCTCGCTCCACAGTCCTCAGGAGGAATATCAGGGCACAAGCACCCCCAAGCCCCGGCCTTGTGATGTGGGGCTCTGCCTTCTCCGGGGATCCTGCCAACTTCAAGCTGGCCTAGTTCTTGGTGAAGCGACTTTGCACACAGAGTCCTTGAAGCCACCTGGCTAGCCTTGCTGCGGCAGACAGGAGGTGGCCATCTGTGCAGGCCCCAGAGTCCTGGTACTGCTCCGTGAACGTGGTGGGAGAACCAGAGGGGGTGACAAGAGCTGGAAGCGGCAGGATCAGGGCACAGCTGGTAGGTCTCAGCCTGGCTCAGGACCCCAGCTCCTACACTGACTTCTGGTGGCCCTGTTTCTCAACAAAGCGACATGTAATACTGAAAAGCAGAGACACGCGATACATCAAGCGTGGTGACGAGAAGAAGAGGAACAATTAGAGACACACACACACACACACACACCCCAGGCCATCTCTGGAGAGCATGCAGAATGCACAGCTAGGCCACCCTGGCTAATGTGGTCCTGGGTACTACTGCCTAGTGACAGTGCTGCTCCTCAGCTCCACAGGGTCATCTGACCGCTGTCCGCGCTTTCTGCAATCTCTTTCTGGGAGAGAAGTTTCCTGCTGGCTGGCACCAGACTTTCCCTGCCTCCAGCCTAAAATTTCTGGGAAAATTCAAATTCCCTGCTCCAACAGTCTGGCCAAGTGAGAGTGCAGGCACCTCTTAGAATGTCTGAGCTCCTGCCAGGGCAGATATAGTTCTTGTCACCCTACCTCAGTTTCCTCACCAGTTAGAGCTCTGGGGAGAGTCTGTGCTGCCAGGACGAGGTGAGGGTCGCAGGGGTGAGGGGCAAGAACATGCCTGTGCTCACACAAAAGCCAGACCTGAGGTCTCTGGACTTGGGGAATTTGTTTCCAGTCTGAGTGGAAGAGGCCAGTCCTGCCTGAGTGTCCCTGCCTGAAGTTTGGCCTGGTCGAGGGCTTCCTTCCACGAAGCTGGACTTGGCCATATCTTTCCTGAACACCCTGGGTACTGGACACACAGAGGTTTTCAGGGAACGTTACTGAGGCAAGTGACTTTGCAAGGGGCAGATTCGTCACCTTGTCTGACCCCTAATGAGGTCATTGCCTGGCAATGGCTTTGTTTGCCCTGGCCGTGGCGTCACCAGCCTCCCAGCCCCTGGAATACCTGGCCTGAGGTGGCTCTGACCGGTCTAGGGC